TCCCACTCTAATCAGCTAATTAAGCCATAACACCTGCAAAGGGTTCCTGAGCCTTGAAATGGTCTCTCAGTCTGGTTCAGTAGGAATCACAATCATGGGAAGGACTGCTGACCTGACAGTTGTGCAGAAAACCATCATTGACTCCATAAGGAGGGAGAGCCTCAAAAGGTAATTGCAAAAGAATTTGGATGTTCCCAAAGTGCTGTATCAAAGCACATTAATAGAAAGTTATGTGGAAGGGAAAAGTGCGGAAGAAAAAGATGCACAAGCAGCAGGGATGACCATAGCCTGGAGAGGATTGTCAGGAAAAGGCCATTCAAAAGTGTTGGGGACTTTCACAAGGAGTAGACTGAGGCTGGAGTCAGTGCATCAAGAGCCACCACACACAGACGGATCCTGGACATGGGCTTCAAATGTCATATTCCTCTTGTCAAGCCGCTCCTGAACAACAAACATCAGAAGTGTCTTACCTGGGCTAAAGAAAATCAGAACTGGTCTATTGCTCAGTGGTCCAAAGTCCTCTTTTCTGATGAGAGCAACTTTTGTATCTCATTTGGAAACCAAGGACCCAGAATCTGGAGGAAGAATGGAGAGGCACACACTGCAAGATGCTCAAAGTCCAGTGTGAAGTTTCCATAGTCTGTGTTGATTTGGGGAGCCATGTCATCTGCTGGTGTTGGTCCACTGGGCTTCATTAAGTCCAGAGTCAACGCAGCCGTCTACCAGGAGATTTTGGAGCACTTCATGCTTCCTTCCGCAGACGAGCTTTATGGGGATGCTGACTTCATTTTCCAGCAGGACTTGGCACCTGCCCACACTGCCAAAAGCACCAAAACCTGGTTCAGTGACCATGGGATTATTGTGATTGATTGGCCAGCAAACTCGCCTGACCTGAACCCCATAGAGAATCTATGGGGCATTGCCAAGAGAAAGATGAGAGACATGAGACCGAATAACACAGAAGAGCTGAAGGCTGCTACTGAAGCATCCTGGTCTTCCATAACTCCTCAGCAGTGCCACAGGCTGATAGCTTCCATGCCACACTGCATTGAGACAGTAATTCTGCAAAAGGGGCCCAAACCAAGTACTGAGTACATATGCATGCTTATATGTTTCAGAGGTCCAATATTGTTCAAGGTACAATCCTTGTTTTATTGATTGCATGTAATATTCTAATTTTCTGAGATTGTGGATTTGGAGTTTTCATGAGCTGTAAGCCATAATCATCACAATTATGACAAATCACGGCTTGAACTATTTTGCTTTGTATGCAATGAGTCTATCTCATATATTAGTTTCACCTTTTAAGTTGCATTACTGAAATAAATGAACTTTTGCACGATTTTCTAATTTTTTGAGTTTCACCTGTACGTCCCTTACAGACAGCTCACACTTAATTGTTGATTTATTTGTCCAAAGGGAGGGAGGGAGGACTCACCCAAACTTTCCAAACGCTGTCATTCCTCGTAATCCTTCACATTTCCCACTTTTCTTTCCAGTTTCAGATTGCATTTATTTGTGAGCGTTTCACCAGATCAGTGACAGCTCTTTATTTGCATAATTATATGCTCTGGTCTGAAGAGAAAACTAACCCCCAAATTTCATGGGTCACCAAACTACAACAATCAGTGTTTTATCACGTATGCTAAGAAAAAACGTGTTGTGGGGGGGAGACTAAGACGTATAAAGTTCCTTGGGCAGTTTTTACTCCTCAGAAAATTAAAGATGCGACGCTCTTGAATGGGTGGAAATCTTTGCAAATTCTTTGTAACCGAATTCTGTTTTTTTAAAAAAAAGGAAAGTAGAGATTAGTAAAGTAGCTGGAAGAGAAAGGGTGGTGCAGTCCCTCAAGCGTTATTTCAAAGGACATTTCCCAAATAAGCTCCGGCTGTATTTCAACGGTTTTCCGATTCCACTGTTGTAAAACAGCGCCATCCTAGGAGCCCTATTGAGATCAGTAGGACTTGGCTCCCAGGAAGGTTGCGGGGCGGGAGGAACGCCGTTCATTTAGTTCCGGGCATGTCCCAGTAAAGTCAAAGCACTTGCTTCCAGGGAGACCGAGCCGCCTGGTGGCATCGCCGCCGAGTCTGTAACAGCGGCGCCGCAGAAGCAAAACTTTGCTACGGCTAAGCGCTTAGTCGCTTTTTCCTGCCGGTCTCCTCTTCTAGATGCGCGCACAAACCTGCGCGCCTGCAATTTGGTGTTTGCTTCTCCAGGAGGTTTTGGAAGTCAGGGCAAAAATGTCCCTTCTTCAACTGCAGGTCTATAGCTCAAAACACAAGGTGCCACTTGCTTCCCTTCCTGTCTCAGGATCTGGCTGTCCATCAAGTGCCGGGGGGTGGGGGGGGGGTGACTCTTCCAAGCCACCGAATGTGGGGTTGATTCCGGAGGATGTTGATGTCAGGTTTCTCAGAGGTCTTCTTGGGGCGGCCTCTTGAGGTTAGCCTTTCCCTCTCGTCTTCCAGGGTTTTCATGCTGCTTGCAGTCCTGGCCTGAAATCTTCTACGCCCCGTTGCCCTTCTCTTCTGCGGGGGATCCGAAAGGAAGAGGCTGAACCATCTCTGGGGCTGGAGCAGCACAGGGCTTGCGGGAGGATGCTAGCGATGGGAAGTCCGAACCACCACCCGGGGGCTCATAAACGCCGAGCCCAGAAGGCTAAGAGCTTCCTGGCTGGGCCTTACAGTCTCAGGAAACCGAGCCGGTTCCTCCAAATTCAAGAGAAGGCAGGCAGTGCCTCTCACCCCTCTCCGAAGCCTTCCAGCCTGTGAGGTCTGGAGGAGACGCCGACTTTTTGGACCCAACCTGTATCCAATTATGGTTGGAGCAGCCTCACTTTGAGGAAGGGATTCACTTCTCCCACGTGCATACGAGTTTGGTTCTTCTAATCTTTTTAGCCGACCCATTCCTCTCCTGAAAATTTCCGCTTAGGCTTTCCAATGGATGCTTGGGGCCACAGTGGCGTAATACCTCTGAATCACTAAAGGTAACTGTGCAGCTTGCTTCGATCTCCGAACTGACCCAGAATTGTTACAAACTCTCCAGTAAATTTTCTAGCGATCCCAAAAGAGATTGCTACTTTTGCTCCAGTTCCGCTGCAACGTAGAGAACAAGTATATCAAATGACAAACGGCACGTCCCCAATTATGGAAGTCTCCCTTTGTGCAAATCCATTTTCTGACGACCCGTTTTGTTCTTTGGGGGTGGGGGAAAGCAGTTTTGTAATTCAGTTTCTCTGCCTTTAATGAGTCTCAGAAAGTGGTAGCACCTGAATTATTTTGGGCTCAGAAGCCAAAGAGGATCGGACCTGGCTAATAGTTATGTGGAGACATCTGGGATATGCCTAAATTTTAGGCAAGACTAAGAAGAGCACCCTTAAAAAGGCAGTGAGACTTCTATATGCTGGCCACAACATATCTATGGATGAGTCTACAAAATCAGCAAGAGCTGACTTCTCTTTACTTGCACATACTTCAAGTTCATTACCTGAACAATGTACACACTTATTTTATTTAATTGATCTAAACAGAGGAAATTGAAAGGTTTAAAACTGGATAGCTAATAATAGAGAGAGTCCCATTCATAGTTCTTATTTTCTTCCAGGGATCAACAGTTGCATGCTATCTCTCCCTCCCTCTTTAAATATTTATTAGTTATAACATTTGGCTTCCTTGCATCTTAACTTATTCCAGATTTATATTTTATATATATATATATACACATACACACATATATATGCGAGAGTGTGTGTAAAAGTAAATGTAAAAAAAAAACCCTAATTTAACCCTTCCCCTTTTGTCTCCAAAACAGAATGAACATTTATTATTTGGATATTTTTTAGAGCATTAACATTTGGAAATGTTTTACAAAAAAATATCCAAATAATAAATGTTCATTCTGTATTGGAGACAAAAGGGGAAGGGTTAAATTAGGGTTTTTTGTTTTTTTTAACATTTACTGAAACATCTAAACAACTTCTGAATGATTATCAGCTGTTATCATGGCTGGGGTGACCATGTGTTGAATGGGGAAGAAATACATGATATGTCCAAAAAAAAAGAGTAGAGGAAAGTCAATACTAAGAGAGGAAAGACTTGTTTCTTCAGCTATCCCCTAGCACCATGGACAGCGCCTTATCTGTTGCTTCCTGTTCTCCCACAGAGCTTTTTTTCTCTCTCCAACAGTCCCTTCTGAAAACAAATGTAGGAAACCAGTTGCTGTGCTTTCTTTCTTAGCATCCAAATACCTTCTGCAGTGGGAGAATAACACGTTAATTTAACTCTCCCCCGTCCCCCTGCGCTCAATGGTTTATTTTGTTCACACTGGTATGATTCAAATAATATTTTCCAGGCCCGCTTTGCCCGGTTTTACTCTTCACTGTCTTTCTCAACCACGTTCCCTGAAAAAAAAACAAAAAAAAACCTAAGGCATCTTTTCCCCAAAGCTCGGGCTTTACTGTCTGCCCCTCTCCTGGCCTCTGTAGCTCTCTCTGTCTCTCCCAAGCCCTCACGGGTTGCACTGTGTCCTTGCCCTTTCCAAGTCTGTCCTCAGCCATAAGCTCCACTGGGGGAGCCAGGCTTCTCTTGAGGGGTCACAACGCGGTTTATCTCTTCTTTGATGCCCACCTACTCTGAACACTCCAACTCCCAGACAGCTGGTTAATTACAGCCTCTGAAAGGCACCCCAGTGTTGCAACCCAAACGAAGAGCTGAAAAATTGACAGCAACTCACTTGACAGACTTCCCTTCATCTCCATACCCTTTCCTCATCTCCCCTTCGCTAATGTCACCCACCCTCTGTTTCAGACCCCTAAGTTAACCTCCCTGCAACTTTTCCTTTCCAGACCCACCCACCCACCCGCTGCGATCCTCAGATCCAGCAAAGTCCCCGCCCCTGATCTCTGCCCAACCTTTCATTCCCTTCGGCTTAAGGGAAAGAGGGAAGGGCAGAGAACCTCTCTTTTCTTTTGCTTTGATCAAATCCTTGCCACTCCAGCAAACAACCTGGAGCCTGCACAACCTGCACAACCATACTATTTCCCTGCTCACTGTTTAAATCCAACAAGACGCTCATTGCTCATTGAAACCTTTTGCTCAGCCTTTGTTTTATTTTTTTAGTGATGGAATTCTTTCCATCACTAAATGATAGAAAGATTTTTTTAAGCAGTAGGATTCTTCTCTGATCGAGTCAAATTTTAGAAATAGTGAAGAGTTTGGGGAGTTGCACGTTTCCGGATTTCTGTTGAATGTCCCACTTACCACCTGAGCAACAAAGATGCAAAGTTAGGAACTCCTGAGGTAGGAAAACAATTCCAAAGCGAGCCAGTTTTCTTTTTAGAAATAGAACCCTGAATTCTGCTATGGTGCTGTTTGGGGAATATGCTTTGTAAAAATGATTAACGAGTTCTCTGTATCACATCCATATTATTGTTGTTCTCATTAGGCTTTTATCAGTGAATAGAACTATTCTATGGAGGGTATTTTGTATTTTGCTTATGGAAATAATACTAATTGCCAAAAAAAAAAAAAACCCTCCAGGTCATTTTCTTTTTCTTTTTAGCAGCTTTCTGGACACAATGACAAAAAAAAAATCTAACTTCTTTTTTTACTCATCATCTGCCCATCTTTTGATGAATTAAATGGCTTGACTTATTTTTTCCCCTTCATCTTTGGTGGGAGTAGACATAATATACATTTTCTCTGTTATGTGATGCAGCTCCCCAATGGAAGGCTTCCTCATAACCTTTACACTTTGTCCTGTCCTTATAAAATGTTTGATAGAGCAGATTTTTTAAAATTGAGCAAGCAGGTTGATACAGAAGAAAGAAGATAACTTCCTTTTTGCCAAAAGAACTCCTGCTCTATGACACAATCTAAACCTGTTGCAATTTTTCAAAAGTTCTTAAAGACAGAGTCAGTTTAGGAAAATATATTTTCAATTAACAATCTAAATGATTTTCTTCTTACAATTGGGCCGTTCTGATAGAAGCTTGTTTGCGTGCTTTAAATTGAAAATGAATTTGCAGCATTATAAATCTTATACTCTGAAAATTAGGAAGCTGAAAATGTGTGTTAAAGAACTTCCAGCTTTCAAATGAAATATTTTGTTCATTCCTAGATCTGTCTTGGCTTTTTACATTTTTCCACAGCACTTGCCCATTACCTAAAAAAATAATTCCCTTTCTCCATTTTACACTGTGACATAGCATGGTTGTTTTACTTTTTGCCACTATTATCTAGGATGTGCCTGGGCATCTCATAATTAACAATTTCAAATTTAATAATGAATTTCAAGTTTAGTAATCTTAAAAACAACTTTTAAGGGAAGGTAGGGGGGTAGTTGTGATTCTAGTATTTTCTAGCTTTTTCCTCCTCAATTACTATAACCAATTATGTTTTTATTGTGATTATTTTCTTTTCTTTTTATTTGTGACATTTGGGGGATGGGAATCACCATTCACTCCCTCTCTTACTCCCTGCAATCCTTCAAAGTCATTTAAAGTTACTTTTTTTTTGTCTTTAGGGCATTTGTCAATGTCAAAAATACCTGAGCTATTTTAAGAAACCAAGTGTTGTAATGTACCTGACAATATACACATATTCACACTTCAGGGAGTTTTCTGAAAATCATTAGGAACATATTAATATTTGAAAATGCCTACTGGACATTTCTGCCATATATATATAAACCAAATCCAGATATAATATTTTAGAATTAAGTTGCTAATTAAGCATTATTTTCCTTCAAAGATTGCAGAATTTCTATCGAGCATTTTAAGGATCAATTAATTCTAGAAAATATTCAGCAACCATCAATTTTTCAATATGAACTCTGTAATATTTTTTTGCCATCTGTTTCTGTCTCTGTCTCTCCCGTGTTGGAATGAATAGGATTCTGCGAAGAAGCCATGAAACTTACAGGTTTTATAGCATACGCATCTTTACTTAGCTATATAATAATGGGCGAGACTTATTCCTCTTCTAAGAAAAAAGCATCCTTCTGCCCCCTCTCTTTCAGTTTGGGTCAACCGTGGATGAGAAAGTAAACTCAGGAACCAGATCACATTACATTCTGGATTAATCTAATTTTGATTAGGGCCACTTGCAGTTCGTTTGGTTATCTGACTGTCTAAATCGGAGCTCCTTGAAATTCCCTGTTCCTGATACGCAAAGCTTGAGTGATTATATTATACTGCTTAGTTTCGGTGTTCATAATGGCACGTGTGACAATCCATTTTTTCGTGAATATTTTCCGCCAGCCCATGGAGAGCGGAAGAGAGTTGCCAGCTTCAGTCTCTGCTCCTGAACTAGCAGCTACCCAGGATACTGAAATCACTACCTGTGCACTTTGAACTGCTTAAGGCGGTGGGAGGGAGAGAATCAGAGCGCAAGGTCTGTTGGTGCTCCAGCCACAATTAGCGCAGCTAAAAGGGGGGATGGAGGACAGGTGGAACTGGAGGAAGGGAGAGGAATTTGCCGGCATGGGAGCCAGGAAACTGAAGCAAAGAGCCAGATGTTTTAACATTTCAGCTTTCATTTTCTATTTTTCATTTTTAACCCTGTACGTTGGGACACCCATGCTTGACCCAGAGCGTGTGTTTGCACTAATAGCAACGTATTCTTCTTGGGGGGCAGGGGGAGGGGGTGTATGGAGCTGACCAGGTTGTAAAATTTCCGGGATCTCCCCAAATTACAGCTTAAACACCTGAGATTGTACAACGGTTCTCATTAAAAGGAGGGAAAAGAAATGCCAGTGCCATTTGTCAAATACTACCAATCATGCCACGTTAGCGTCTTTTACCTTTATTGTATTAATCTTTTTTTAAAAAATGCATACATTTCTGAAAAGGTGAACCTTTGGGTGTGTGTGAGGGGTGGGGTGGGCTGAGGCTGTATTTCAGTAATTTTAAGAATAACTGAATTGCAAACAAACTTTCTATGTTTGTAAATTCAAAGGAAAACAACATTTTTATAACTTTGCTGAAACTAATGCTTAGAAATAATTTGCTCTGCATTATATATGCATGTTGGTACTATACTGTACTAGAAATATTTCCATAATATGAATTCTTGATTACATAAGCAATATAAACAGGCTTTCTGCTTACCCCCCCCCCTTAATAAATGAACTCATTTAGGATACAACACATAGTCCTTTAAAGATAAAGATAGCGTTGACACAGATCACGTTTTCTCTATTCCAAAGGCAACATAAACCAAGAAATACATACATTTATATAAAATATATATTTGATTAGGGGGTATTTTCACTTTAAAATCCTCGTAATTATTTTTGACTACTCACAAAAGAGTCAAAGACTATGTTAATATGACCATCGTCTGTTTATATTGTGAAGCCACACTTCAATGTCTCAATGTGTATATGATGCAACCCTGCAGCCAATAAATGATTTTACATTTGATTTTTCTTTCGTGGTTTTTTTTTAGTTAGAACTTTTAAGCATAAAGGACCTTTAAAAGAGAAACAATCGTTCAGCACATTTCAACATGAATTCATGACGAATCCCCAAGCCGAAAAATGCCAGAGCCCATATTTCGGTCAGAGGATGTTTTTCTATTTTAATCTGGGTTATTAATAGGGCTTGTCCACTGTTTTATGTTATTTAATAACGTGCCTTCATTTTTTTATTGTGATAACTGAGATTAAAAATATCCTTCTCAGAATGACGATTGGAAACTTTTCGGGGAATGTTATTGCAAGAGACTATCAGCATTAACGTCCTGAAAGGTCCTGAAAGACACAGCGCCACCTAGCAAACGAAACGAGAATCAAAGGCGAGGAATATACGGCGCCTCTCGAGCAACCCAAGGGGTGGGGAGGGAGAAAGAGGGGTGATGAAACTCCCACCTCAGTTTCACCTGGACAGAATCCGCTACCCCAACCCCAAATAGCACCTGAGACTCGGCCTTCATGAAAGCAGCTCACCCCCTCAGCCGTCTCTAACTCACATCTGCTTTCCTTAGAGGCAACAACCAGTTTCCAGCGTTTATTGACAGGGGGGGAAAAAAATCCACCTGGCTGGCTCTTAATTACCTTTCCTGCTCGTTATCTTCTCTCACCGAGGTTTAAAAAAGAGAAGAGGGTCACCTTGGTCCCTTAGAGGGGAAATACAAGAAATCCGTTTGCTTAGATAACAAGGCATTTCTTTCTCTGAGTAAGTAAAACAATTCGGTGGATCCGATGCAGGAGTTTAAAAGGTTCTCTGAAATACGAATCTAGCCTTCCTCACCCCCTCACTTTTCAGATTAAACTTAATTTCAGGTAGATTTTTTTTTGTTGTTTCAGGGAAATATTCCTTATTAAATTGTCTTTCAAAAGGCAGCAAAAAAAAAAAAAAAAACACCAACAACTCTAAAACAATTCTTAGTTTTCTTTGTTGTTCTATTGGGTACGGCTTTACCCAAGTTTGGTGTTCGATCCTGAGGGCCATGAAAGTTTCAACTTCACTGGTCTGGAGGGATCGAGTTCAGAAAGCTTACATTACAGCCTTCCTGCCCTGGTAATGAACATTAGTGATCAAGTTGGCCAATATTATTAGTCCCCCAAATAGAGCAATTTTATTAGGCCAAGACAAGTTTGCAAACTGGAAGGTTTTGGTGTGTGAGGAAGCAGAAGGAAAGCAACACACACTACCCGTACAGAGAGGGGGAGGGAGGGAAGGAAAGAAGGAGAGAAGATCCAATATTAACGGTGTTTGCAAGTCACGTTTCTATTAGTTCCGTGCAATTAAACGAAGTCAGCAAATCAGTTTGCTCCAGAGAAATGATAGCGCTTCTCACAAACAAGGCCGGCCTTGGCCTTCCTGGCCGCCATCTGCCTGGCAAATGGACCACCGCATGCCCGGCAGGCTTGCAGAGGCCCAGGGCTGACGGACCCAACGGCCTGGCTTTGGAGGCGTCTTCCGCGGCGCCTTTTGGGGCCGAGGTGATCTGCAGCCGAGCCGCGATTGCAACGTCGGAGCTTCTTGTTAACGCGGCCAATTTTTAGGGCCCGGTCATCAGCCGCTCATTTCAG